TACAACTTTTATCATATAAATATTTTCAGAATATATGTGTAAATCTGAAAATTAAAGGTAAAGTTATTCCCAATACCCCTTATATTAAAAAATATTCCTATTTTGAAAATTTCTTCCTAGTAAATGTTGTAGTACTAAAAAAACTATGCAATACAAAAAAAAAAAAAAACTTTGCGACATTCGGATTACGGAGCACATTGTTATGATCCTTCAAAGTTTAGGGGAAGCAAATGACTTTTTCTCGGGGCGAAGGCACGTGAATTTTTATTTATTTATAGGATTTTTTCGCCAAACGAGCAATTTTTTGGATGACCATCTTCTGAGAAAACGTCATTTGCTACCCATAAAGAGCAAATTTTGGATTTTGTCAAACTTTGGAGGATCATAACTTTGTGCTCCGCAAGCTGAACGTTGCAAAGTTTTTTTCACTTTGCATAATTTTTTGAGTACTACAACATTTACTAGGATAAAATTTTCAAAATAGGAATATTTTAATAATATAAGGGTTTTTTGGAATAACTTTACCTTTAATTGTCAAATTTCCACATATATTCTGAAAATATTTCTATGATAAAAGTTGTAGTCCTCGAAAAGTTATGCGAAATGATTTTTTTTTTTGCACGATCAGATAATCGAGTACAAAGTTAAGGTTAGAAATTTCAAAGGAGTAGTTCGAGTTCATCAAACTCGAACCACTTTAGCTAGGGGTGGGAAACGGTGCGGTTGCGGTTAACTGAACCGCAATTTGCAGTTAACTGCAACCGCAAAGTCCTCATATTAGCCAACCGCGACCGCACTTGCTACGATTCGTGGTTAACTGCTAAACGCACATTGCGCTTAACGGAGCCCTGCGGTTAGTGGCATCACCAACCGAGTTAACCGCATCTGGAGAGGATGACGGCCGGCGGCGTGCGTTGCGCCTTTGACCATCGACGCCGAACTCGAATCGAGCAGGCATGGCGGCGGCCGACGAGCGGTCCTCCACCTCTTCGTCTTCTCCGACGCCGAAAATTACATCGTACTCTCCAACCGTCACCGCCTCCTTGCTGGCGAGTACTTCGAAGGGTCAACCTCCACCAAATCTTGTCCCTCGAACTCCCGCACCGCCTCCAACTCTTCTTCCTCCATCCTCGCCAAAGAGATCCAGTTCATGATCCTCTGCCTCTTCAACTTGAATTTAGGGTTGAAAGATCCAAATCAGCAACGAGCCTGCTAAGATCGGGCAATGGAGGTCCAATTCAAAATTCGATCGATTGGGTTACCACCATCGTCGCCGTCCCAATCCCTTGGTCTCCTTGACACTGTTGGTGTTGTTGTGTAGGGAAGCCAATTTCTCCGATTTGGGTTTCGTTGCTTGCTTTCGAGGTCCGATTCGGAGTAGCAGCAGGTGTCGGGAAGCCAGTTTCTCTGATTTGGGTTTCGTTGCTTGCTTTCGATTCTGAGCTTATAAGTATCGTCGGTCGACCAAGAACATCCCAAAAGTGGAGCAACAAGGAACCCAAATCCCTCGCACTAGCGAGGAACCCCCCATATCGGCGACCTCGCTTCTTGCGAACCCAGATCCGGCGGCACCTCCTTCCAACAACACCTTGATTTACTAGCGAATCTCCGTAGAACAACCTAGAAACCAAAAAAAATCAACCCTCCTACGACCTGGATTCGTCGAGCTTTGTGGTGTTGTAGTGGTATTAACCCTAAATTATTTTATAAATGAACATTTATGTTGACTATGATAATTGTTAACATCACATAAAATGGAATAGGTACTAAGTAGTATAATATAAAGTAATATCATAATTGTTAAAAATAACTCTATTGTTGTTAAAAATACATGTTAGTTCGATAGAAGGTTCTATGGTTGGGATTTTGTAGAGTTTTTTTATGCTAGGTTTTGTATCTTAATCCAAATCATATTAAATTGATTTAAAGGCCAAAATTATATTTTAATACGACCTAAATCATATTTTAATACGACCTAATAAAACCATTAGATTAATCTAAAGGCCAAAATTATATTGAAGTAAATTGTAACCAACGATTAGTACCATATATATTATGGAAGCGAAAATGATAGTAGAATCTTCAAGATTGGAGATTTTATTAGAATAATGATAACTTACCTTTTCATTCATGTGTAGTTTTGTTTGATATTTTTTTTTTGATGAAGTTTTGTTTGATAATTGGATTTATGGAAAACACACCATCCTTTTGTTGTTTGACGGTGAAAATAGAGAAGATTGGGCGTGGAGACGAATTCTGAAGCTTCGGCCAACTGTGCAGTCGTTTATGAGGAAACAGGGTGATGAAGGATTTTGGAACCTGAAATTGATGCCCAGCTACTCAGTGAGCGCAGTCTGGGATACGATACGTCCTGTGAAACAATATTGGTCTGCTCTTCTCTAGAGGAAACTCTACGTGCCGCTTTAGAGCATCATAGCGTGGATTGTGGCCATGGATAACCAAGGTAAAGTTGATGCGGTGGGGTAAATTAAATGAAGATAGATGCATTTTATGCCATGCCAATAGTGAGACCTATGATCATTTGTTTTTCGAATGTTGTTTCTCGAAGAGTATTGTTAGCAAAGTTTGATAATTTTTTCAGTAGCATCTCTTGGGATCTCCAACTCTCATAATGCAGGTGTGGTTGCAAAGCGAAACACGGCTCAGGGGAGACTTATTGGACCTCTATGGTGCTCCTTGATTAGCTTTGTCTGATAGGAAAGGTGTTGAAGGCTCCATGGAGAGGTCCCAAGAACGGCCGAGTTGGTGACAGAGTTATGGCTGCGAGATTTCTTTCCTCTTTGTTTCCTCTTATCCCGGTTCAGAGGTTTGGAGAGTTTGCGTCCCTCTAGCAGCATAACAATAAAATAAAAAATAAATTAGAAAGTGAAATAGTACCCCCAACAAATTCAAAGTCTGGCGGAAACGCTAAAATCAGTGCGACAAATTTAAAGCCCAACATAAATGTTTAAACGAAGCATTCCAATTAAAGTGTGGTAAATGACATTTTTCCTTCCAAAAATCACTATGGTTGCAGGATATTTGAAATTAAGAAAATTTAACCCACGAATCTCCTTCATATATTTTAGGGTTATAGGTATAATATGCCCCTCTACTATAACGTTTTATCAAACATGCCCCTCTACTATTTTTTACATCAAACATGCCCCTGTAATTTGGAAAAACTATCAAACATGCCCTTCAGTTGAAATTTACATTGAAAAAATCGTCAATCATGGTTGAGCCGAGATTTAGACAACCTGACATCGATAAATGGGAGGGGAAATGTCAGTTTTGACCCTTGTTTTATTTCTCTAGGTCTCGTCAAAGTGAAATTACTAGAATTATTTGGCTATACAAAAGAACCAAAAAAAAACTCTAAAGTGAAATTATTAGGGATATTTTAGATATTTGGGTCGCCCAAACCAAATTTCGGTCTTGGTTAACGGTTTTTGGATGTAAATTTTAACAAAATGGCATGTTTGATAAGTTTTCCAAAGTACAGGGGCATGTTTGATGTAAAAAATAGTAGAGGGGCATGTTTGATAAAACGTCATAGTAGAGGGGCATATTATAGCTATAACCCTATATTTTATAGATTGGAGGATAGTCTAGAACTAAAATAATCAAATATAAAAATTGAAGTATCAAGCACCATAAAGATACTTACAAGAAACTTAATGAGCTAGCTTATTATTATTATTTTGCAAAAGTCATATGTTTTACAGATTTTAACTTCGTGTATGGTTTGTAATAAAAAGTATACAACATATTTGTTTAGTGTAATTGGTTATACTTCTTGTCTTTGTTTAGAAAGACCATGGTTCAAATATTGGTGCTGATATATTTTTATACAAAATAAATAACAAATTGTGAAGACAAAAATACCCTTCCTACTTTCACTCTGGTTGCTCGAAATGGAGAAAATCCAACCCATGAATATGCTTTATATATAGTATAGATATATAGATATAGATATGTTTCCTAAGTATGTCTGAGAAGGATCTGCAATTGTCCGATTCAACGATGGCTAACGCATGTGAGATCTTTCTGACAAATGGAAATGGATTGTGAGGACGATAGTTAGATTGGCCTGTATAGATGCCTGATCCAAGTTTTTTCAATTAAGAGCATCGATTAAGGCTAAATAGAGGTCATAAGCGGTAAGGCTCAAAAGCCCCAAGTACTCTTTGTTAAGAACCAGTTGATCCCCTCAAACGAAAGCCAACTCACGGACTTGAAGTTTGCACAGGCCCACTGTACCTTGTGCTTTAAGCAACTGTTAATATTGGGGGTCGTGGAGATTCGAACACACGACCACTTGGCCAAACCAGCTCTGATACCATGTCATAAACCAGTAGGTCCCAATAACTCGAGTTGTTGGGAGAGATTCAATCGTGGATTATATATTACTCACTAACACACCCCCTCAAACGAAAGCTTGGTCTCAATAACTTGAGTTGTTGGGAGAGGTTCAATCGTGGATAATATATTACTCACTAACACACCCCACTCAAACGAAAGCCAATCACCTAGTAAGGGATTTCGTTTGCACATATCCTGAACACGAAAATACATGTACTTCACAAATGGGATCACCGGGATTCGAACACAAGATCTCTCGGTCACATAAGGCTCTGATACCAAGTCAAGAACCAGTTGATCACAATAACTCGAGTTGTTAGAAGACGGTTATGCTGGATCTTATACCGCTCTCTTACTCTTTATTGACATCAATACAAAACCTCCTGATTTGCCGTATTGATCAACAATTCTTCCATTTCCAGTGGGTAAATTTCCGAAGCTGTAACTTTGTCTAAACATAAAAGGGCTACGAGAGGGGGAGTGACTCTTTTTTTTTTATAATGGCGATGATTTATTAAACAAATTGAAATGAACAGAAAGTACATGGATCAAGAGAGATGATCCTAACCAGAAAAGAAGAAGAAGGGAGAGAAAAAGAAAGAAGACACACAACAAAGCCTCACCTACAACCCACGCTAGGTGTACAAAGCCACCCCTGCGTGCACCACATAACAAATACACAGAAATGAACATCCTAACCCAGCGGAACACCGGGCAAGCTATACCCATCTAAACCACTCCCCAGACTCAATCGACACACCAACAAGGGGTGTCATGCAGCAGGGAACAACAACACCCCCAAGACCGAGCAATAAACCACTCGATTCCCTGTATTGCGCAGTTTACAACTCCAATTCCATCCTCTCACAGCCTCCTCCATACTCCCTCCCAAACCCACAATCAAACCCAAAAACCAGCGTTACTACACTAATCCCAGCTCAAACAACCATCTAGATCCCTCCACCGCCTGCACTTTACCTTTAGCCACAATCCATTCTATAGCATTTTTAGCTTCCTTTTTTCCTACCACCAATGCATGCATCTCTTTATCCTCGAACAACCGTTGATTCCTCTCGAGCCAAACAACCCACCAAATGGCATGACGGATACAGCCATCGAACCACTGTTCAATTCTTTCTCCATCTGCAACAGGCCAATTAGATATTACTTGTCTAATCTCACCGTCCCATCTTGGTGTCAAACTCCTTCTACAATAAACTATCCTCCAAGTATTCTTGACAAACTCACATTCCATAAGGATATGATAAGTAGATTCTTCATTCTTCATACAAAGATAACATCTATTGGCAAGACAAATCCCTCTCTTCTTCAGATTATCTAAAGTAAGAACTCTGCTGTGATAGACAAGCCATTGAAAGAAACATATTTTGCTAGGAATCCATGATTTCCAAACTTTCTCAATTGGAAACTCCTCATTGCCCCTTAAATCATTAGCTGTCAAATCCCTGTACATGGATCTCACGGAGAAATTCAAGTCCGTCGTTGGTTTCCACATGATCCTGCACAGACTAGAGATGTATACACCAAATTCATTGTATTTAAAAGATTTAGTAAATTATTGCTTTCCCTATCTGCCCCACCCCTCAAAGTGTATTTGAAACTAAAATTCCAACTCACCGACTCACCATTGATTCTCGTAGTGTCGGAAAGTAGAACTTCTGGGTCAAGGACAGCAGCAGCGACGCAACCAGCACGGTCCCAGGGATCCAACAATCATGCCAGAAGGAGACTTGAGTACCATGACCCGGATCAATGACAACAAATTTCCAGAACTGATCATACTCTTTATTGATGTTCGCCCACACCGACATGGAAAAACCTCCTCTTGTCCTTCTAGTCTGCCAACAAGAGACTTGATTCAGATACTTATAGTTAACCAATTCCCGCCACCAACTTCCCCTCTCCGCCGCGAACTTCCACGGCCATTTCGATAACAACGCATCATTAAACATCTTCAGATCTTGAATCCTAAGTCCCCCTCCTTAATGGGCGTTTTACACAACTTCCAATCCACAAGAGCCATTTTATGACCATCTGTCTTCCCACTCCACAAGAATCTTCTTTGATATCTCTCCAACTCATTCACAACCGAACTAGGATCCTTGAAGAGGGAGAATAAGTACGCCAGAGTACTATAAATAACATAATTAATCAAAACCAGCCTAGCCTTAGTGGACATATTTCTGCTTCCTCATCCACTTAGCCTTTGTTGATACCTTTCCACAATATCATCCCATATCGAGGTTTCATTCGATTTCGCCCCAAGAGAAAAATCGAGGTACTTAGACGGATCTCTACTCCATTTACACCCGATACCTTAATGAGTTCTATATTGTGCAATGCATGCGGTCGAACAATCACTCCTAAGTGGAAGCAAACTAGAGACTTGGAGCGAAAGTTTTAAGAGTTTCGGAGATTATGAGTCGAATGGAGAATAAGGGTCGATGAGCATGGACTAGAGAGCAGAGAGTGTTTTTTTTTTCCTCGATGAAGGAAGAGAGAAAGGGAATTGCTTGTTATTGGTTTTAAAGTCAGAATCTTTAGATTCAAAATCAACGCCATAACCACTCCACTACACTAGTCTTGATCACCGGTAAAGTGTAGATGCAATGCAAGTCAGTAATTCAGTCTTTGATGATTTGAGCTACAAAAATTGCTTTTATTAATATAAGGTATGTGAGAAATCAATCTATATAACAATCAAGAACCAACTAATACAGATCAAAACAAAAGAAAAATCACATGCCCGGCCGTAGGTATCTCTACTGATCACTCCATCTATAACAACAGAGCTACGAAGACGGACAAAAACGCGGCGGCCGACACGCCGGCAACGGAGGTGGCGGAATTTGGCGACGGTGGAGCCACATTACCGGCAGGGGACGACGGAGTGGTCGAACCTGACGGCGATGGAGTTCCAGGGGTTGTGCTGGCCGCGCCGGTGACATTAATGGAAAGCTGTTGGCCGGCGGAGCAGTGCCCGGGAACGGCGCAAAGGTAGAAGTGCTCGCCGGCGGTGGTCAGCGTGATTCTCGACGGCGGGTTGCTGTCGAGGGAGATCGGGTTGGTCGTTGTGCACGCCGTGTAGGCGTCGCTGGTCACCTCCGCCACGTTGTGTGCTCCGGCGGTGTAGTTGAAAACTGCAGCAGAGAGAAATTTCAATTCAGAGCATATTAATTTATATTTTAAGAAGTCCATTTTTTAATTAACATTCTAATTAACTACTTTCATACAACAATTAGTTTAATTAATAGTACTTTGTACTTACCAAGGATATCGCCGACCATGAAGTCTTTGCCGGCGGCCCAGTTTTGGAACAGAGCAGCACCGTTCGTGGGAATGTTCCACCCGAAAGAATCGCCGACGGTGTAAGTCATCGGACTCCTCGCAGAAGGAACCGGTGCCGACGACGGGACATCGCCGGAAACAGGGGAAGTGGAAGGAGTCGGGGCAGGTGCTGACGACGGGACATCGCCGGCAACAGGGGAGGTGGACGGGGTGGGAGCAGCGGCAGGGGTGAGAGCCCGGCGGGGAGCAGGAGAAGGCCCAGTAGTTGAAGCAAGAACGTTGACGGTGACCTTCTGACCGGCGCTGCAGTGGCCGGGGACGCCACAGATGAAGTAATGCTCGCCGGTTGAGTTCAGGGTAATTCTCGCCGGACCTGTCGTGGAAGTCATCATCGGGTTCGCCGCCGAGCAGGAGTCATAGTCTGCCTTGTTCACTTGGGTCACATCGTGAGCTCCAGCAGCGAAATTGAACACTGATTTTGAAAGGAAAAAAACAACAACAACAAAGATTAGAACTTTATTTTGATCCCAATCGTTACAAAAGATTGTAGATGTTAATTAAAAGGCTTTCTTACCGAGAATGTCCCCGACAGCGAAGGAATTGCCGGAAGCCCAGTTGGAGTAAACCGATTCACCGCCCTGAGGGATGGTCCATCCGGCGTTTCCTCCCACGGTGTGAGGAGTCTGAGCGGCGGAGATGTGGAGAAGAGCGGCAATCACGATTGCTGCGAAAGCTAACGTCTTTGATCTCGACACCGCCATTGTTGTGTTCTCTGAGAGAGAAAAATTGGTCGCCCCTGTTTTTGTTAGGATGCTCTGTTTTCCTTTTCCTCTGTTTTGTTGATGGTTTGTTGAGTTGAGTTTGAGGTTCTAAATGTGTTCACGCCGGGGGGAATTTATAGTACGAAGAAATGGGATGTGGCGTGGAAGGTGAGCCGTTGGATGGGCGACGCGTGGCGGGAGGTCTGAAAGGGAATGGATTGAGGAGATTGGCCGGGCGGGGGAGTTGATTCTTCTTGTTCGGCTGCCGGGAAAAGTGACTTTCTTTCCGTTCACTTTGTAATTCCGCGTCGAGGGAGTTTTTCTACCAAACATGTGTGACTTCGTGGGTTTATTGGTCAATGGTGAATTTTTGTTTTGTGTTTGACCTCATTAATTAGGGATTAATGGTCTTGATTAACCGTGTTTAAGAAAAAGATCGTGAATTACACGATAGGACTTCTCCCTTAACCCTTGAAGTTTATGTTTTGAAGTGTAGTTTGAGTTCTTGATGTTGCGAGTAAGAGACCATCAAGTAAGAGACTTTTTCAATGAATCACGATCTGAGTTGTAAAATGGAATTTGAGTTACCCCGCTCAAATTAACCCCTTTTCTTATTTTGTTGAATAGGATAAAATAAGATGTTTTAACTTGTGTTATTAATCAATCGAGACATATAGGTATTAGGTACATTATGGTTTGTGTAATATTGACGACCACAATCATTCCAATCAACAAAATAAGTGTTTAGGAGCATCCTCACTTAATAATGTTGTTTACAATATAGTTACCGTTTCTTTATGAATTCGTGCAGTTCTAATTAACGTACAAAATACTCTCATATATGTAAAATGTAGTGGAAATATATGCAACAATGTGGAAACACTTTGAAAGTATTAGTGGAATATTAGGCAATTACTACATTATTTTTTTATATAAAAATGACATCAATTTTATATTTATAATTAAATGATATTCTATATATTTAAATCTATGACCTCCAAATTAACTACTAGTAATAAAACGATAGACTGACCACTTGTTGGCAAGAATTACATTATTTAGAAAAGAAAATTTGTATGCCAAAAAGGTGGTGGGAAATATGCTAAAAGCATTACACTAATTTCTCCTTTGAAAATTGCCAAATTGGGACATATTGTTGGAATGGAAGAACCGGTCCAATTAGAAGTTTCCCGGGAAAAGGAGGAAGAAACACGGCATGTGAAGTGAAAGTCAGTAGCTTGCAATATTATATAGGATGCATTCTTTTTCAAAATTTTAAAATACGGAAGGAATTTGGGAATTATAGATAATAATTATTTTTTATAAAGGAAAGCAAATTGGCCTTTTGAAGTATTCTCATGAAGTCGATCGGTGATTTGGTTAGGTGGGCATGTGATGAGATGATTCGTACTTGTAGTTTTAAGGAGATTAATTTTCAATTAAGTTGTAATAATAGATTAGTAATCATATAATTAAAAATATGCATGTTGACCGGAAAAGAAAGCTAGAAAAAACAATGTTGGAATGGAAGGAGTGGAACTTCCATGATCGGTGCACTACATACAAGCACAATGGACTTGACTTTGGGAGTCAAATTGTGGGGTTTCAAATCTTTTAATCCTCGTAAGCTTCAATTCGATAAAGTATGCGAGTAACCGTTGTATTCATTTATTTTACGGAAACCGAGTTACGTACATAACGCGGTTAAGACGCAACTTTCTGAAATTAACCCCAATAATATTGGAAGTTATTCGAAAACTTTCGACAATACTGCTCCGGATAAACTCTTATATAGGAAAAAAAATAAAGAATAACATTTATTAACTCGAGAATGTAGACTTATAGATTATCTATTCTTGGTTTCCTCTAACACCATGTCTTGTGTGGTCACCTTTATTGAATTGGTTGACCAATACAAAAAAAAAAACCCTATTCAATTGGATCACATATCAAAGATTCAAAAGTGATATGCCATTCAAAGCATGAAGAGATGCACCTATCAATATTTATGATCGGCACAATAATAATATGTGATGGATACATGCATGAACATATCATGAAACTTGGAAAAATGGAAATCAGATGGGAACTCAAATGAAATCGACACGGTTGGACCATTACCTAATCATAGAGTCATAATTACATGTTAATAATATGTCTATCTTCCCTTCCCAAAGTCAAAAGTTTGAAATCTAGGTGTCCATTAGTGCTTCTAGCTATAGACTACCATAGCTACAATATTATTTACTAACACGACTTTTCAAACGAAATCCTACTCATATGAGTTCGAAATTTATATACATATGAATGTCATGTGTATAATAAATTGGATCGTTGGATGCAAACATTGTTAGTCATAGTGGTCGGAAATTAAAGATTGACAAAGACACAGATTTACATGGTATTCTTAAATGTTCAGGACTAATCTACGGGAGAGTCTTCAAAACTCTCCGAGCTACTGTTGCGATTACTTAACCGTCTGGGAATACAATTACAGAACATATATATGTGACAAACCTGTTGATGTGACTTGAATCGGACTATCAGCCGCTACGACTGGTAGTCGGGGGTCTCGCATGGAGAAGTTGATAGACCGTTAATTACACATGTTTTCACCCCTATTCTTGAGCCGTTTGAGATTTTGATTCTCGTATTTTAGGCCGATTTCACGCTAGGTTGTGCTTGTTTGTGATATTTCAGGTCCTAGTAAGTGAATGAAGGTTTAGGAGCGAGTTCGGGGTCGATTGGACGAAGATCGGGCGTGAGGCAAGCCGCTGAGGAAGCCACACGGGCACACACAAACCCCACACGGCCGTGCAAGTGACCAATGTGGCCGTGTGGGATTGTGCGAGCCTTCACACGGGCACAAATAAATTCCACACGGCCGTGTGAAGGAGCAATGT